GTCAAATATCAACCTACGTGTCCCGTTACTTGACGGGAAAATGATGACATGTCATATAATAATCCACGTGGAAGTTAATATAACCAAAAAAATAATGATGTGGAAAAAAAATAATATAAAAAATATTAAAAAAAATAAAACTTAAAATTTTTTTTCTTTTTTCTTTTTTTCTTTCTTCTTTCTCCTTCCCCTTTCCCTTTCTCTTTCTCCTTCCCCTTTCTCTTCTCTTTCCCCTCAGAACCCAGCAAGCCTGGGTTCCTTCGAACCCACCCAGGCGCTGGGTTCCTTGGGTTCGCCTGGGTTCGCAAGGAACCGAACCCAGCACGCTTGCCTGGGTTCGATGGAACCCAGCACGCTTGGGTTCAGTTCCTTGCGAACCCAGCGCCTGGGTTCGCAAGGAACCTAAGCATGCTGGGTTTGCGTCTGGGTTCGCACCGAACCCAGCATGCCTGGGTTTGGTGGAACCCAGCACGCTTGGGTTCGGTTCCTTGCGAACGCAAGGAACCCAAGCGTGCTGGGTTCGCGTCTGGGTTCCTACAAACCCAGCACGCTAAGAACCCAGGTGCAAAAAAATTTTTTAAAAAAATTTCTGTTTTTGTTTTTTGGATTTTGTTGTTTGATTGTGATGAAAAATTGATTGATGAAGATGAAGATGAAGAAGGCAAGGCAGTTGCTGGGTTATTGCAGGTGTTGGGTTCGATTTTTCAATTTCGAATGCTAGGTGTTTGCAGGTGCTGGGTTCGTTTGGAGGTGTTGGGTTCGTTTGGAGGTGCTGGGTTTGTTTGCAGGTTTGTTTGCAAGTGTTGGGTTGGTTTGCAGGTGCTGGGTTCGAAATCGAACCCAGCAGGCGGTGGGTTTGAGGCTCTGGGTTTCGTTTCGAACCCAACAGCCATTGGGTCAAATATCTATTGAGTTTAATCTGTTGATTTGTTGTGTTATTTTCGAATTTAATATTAGGAGTTAGGGTTTGCAGAAGGTTAAAGGAAATAGAAGGTTAAAGGAAAGGCAGAGGAAGAAGAAAGGGAAAAAGGAAAAACAAACAAAGAGAAAAAAAAAAGGAATAACAAAATTTTTAAGATTTTTTCCTTGCCATCTCATTTTGTTGTCACACTGTACATCCTAGGTGTCAAAATGTTTTTACATGTCATCATTTTCCCATCAAGTAACGGGACACGTAGGTTGACATTTGACGGAAAGACCAAATCGGGGTAAAAATGGTAAACAGTAAGGACCAAATCAGGGATTTTTTTAGTTCAGGGATCAAATCGGGGGTCCGTACAATAGTTCAGGGACCAAAAAGGGATTTTAACCTATATTTTAATAACTTTAATATTTAAATTTTATTTTTAATGTGTAGTCTAACCTATAAAATATTTTCTAAAAAATAAAATAAAATAAAAACAAAACAAAAGTAAGAGCATTTTAACTTTGAATTTCAAAAAGAAGAGGGGCTAAAAAAACAGATTGGAGATCGGCTCTTGTAGGAGAGTCGATTTCTTATTAAAAAAAGAAAAAAGAAGAAAAAACCCATTACAATGAAGGGTCTCTTAATCAAGCACACTCCAATGAAAGGGAATATATCCTATTGAAGCTGCTCTAATAACCTCACTGATGCAGTTCAAAAGAAATCTAACACTACACCTTGTATTCAAATTAATATCATACACATTAAAGCTGGAGCCGGTTTTGTGAATTCAGTCAAACCAATCAAATATTATCGCTCAATCATCTTTTTCATCAAATTTTAATAGAGGTGCCCTCTGCAGTTCTGCTTCTTTGTCACTGCTGCAGTTCTTCGTCACTAAAATTCCACTCAGTCCCAAGTTTCCGATTAATGTAAAAACGATTTGAAAAGGTACGACACATGGTCCCTAGAGGAATGTGGAACGTGACCCACAAGTTCATTGTGAATTGATATCACCAGTATGTAGGTCGTGGTAACATGCTGCCCTAAGCACGGTGAATGGTAAAAACTAAAAAGACACGGTCCAGTGGGCAATAGATTTTCTTAGGAAAAAAATTTAAGAGCATTTTGATTAGAACAAAAAAGAAAATACAAGGCATTATATTTAAGACAGATTGATTTGAGTATGTGAACGTCCATCTCCAATCAGAATACAATTAAAGACATGGCTTAAGGAATCACCCGGAATTCCCCAATGGATCGGGGAAGCATTATGGCAGTGGCTGCTGCATCAACACACAATCCAATAAACCATCATTAAGCATACTCTACATCTTCAGAGAGCGGATGTAAAAAAAATATTAATTGATTAATACAACTCTCTTAATTTCTCTTATTGGAGTGAGAATAATGTAATCACATCTGCCAGTCGGTCTGGTTCTCATCTTCCAAACCTGCATTTGATGTGTCTCATGAATTAACTCATGAATCTCTTAACAATAAAAGAGTCTCTATAGTTACTGCAGGCCCAGAGTAACAGAAGTGTTGGTGAGTGCATAAAGCAAAATGAGAAAGAAAAAGTTAATGAGATCTTTTTGCCAATAAAACAATAGTCAATGAAACACCATCATAAGAGAGACGGACTAAATGAGAATGGAAGATCCACAAAAGAATCAATATTGTCACAATCTATTATAAAATGAGCTGCACATCATATTGCAAACTGACCATAAAGGCTGAAAGCTGAGATTATTGCATATGACGCAATAGTGATTGTCAATATTTGACTGCCCAGCAATAAAAGCAAGCTGGATTCAAATAACAAAATAACTTCAGAAGGTTTCAATTATTAATTAGTTCACAAAGGGCAAGTAGCACTAACAGAAATGAACCACAAACGAGTTGGAAGAAATGCAAAACAAAACAAGGAAAAGAAATCTTTTATATGTTTAAACTGTAATCTAGAAAGCATGTATAGCCAATAGCTACTTAGAACCTTAGATCATTAGAAGAACTCCTATACAAAACATTTGTGAACTAATAAGAATCACCTGGGGTTACATCAATGGAGGAGGAATTTATGCCAGTGATTGCTGCATCAATACATGATCCATACTCGTTAACATTCCTTAACTAATATGAATTTTAAATTTTCATCAATTGGGACTATTTTCTTTTGTTGCAGTATATCTTTGCTCATAGCTACTATTAGTAGTAACAATGAAGTAAAACTATATTTTGAGGGTAATCTCTTGACCTATTCTATACAAAGATTTGAGAATCTTGAAGATGATTTAAATGTCTTTAATCGCATTCAAGGTTATAAATTTGCTCAAGTGTTTTTTCCAGATCTGCTTCCCGTATTTGAAGTTGAAAGTAGCAATGAATACCATTGGACCTACAAGGTACTTGGAAAACCCCTTTCATCTTTTGTAGATAAAGAATGTCTTCAATTGTTTACTCACAAAGTTATTATAGTAAAAACTGTTGACTGATGATGGAAAACCAATACCCAGTAGGAGAAAATCAATGCCTCTTGAGAAAAAAAGTAAATTTTCCTACATTTCAAAATTTTATAGTTTTTTTTTTTTTTTATAAAGGCAATGTCGGTTCTCAAGTGTTATATAAATGACTATGAGGTAACTTATGACTTGGAAAGTATTTATACCTCATAATCATCCATACACTACTTGAGAACCTATGGTACCTTTATAAAAAAAAAAACTATAAAAATTTGAAATGTACAAAATCTCACTTTTTTTATCTTTTTATTTTCTGCTAATAGGCAGTGGTTTTCTATCAGGTTTTTCAATAAGTTTTTCTGTAATAACTTTGCAAATAAACAACTGAACACCTCTATCTACAAAAGACAAAAAGGGTTTTCCAAATACTTTATAGGCCAAATAGTAATTATTACTATCTTCAACTTCAACAACATGAAGCAAATCTGAAAAAAGAACTTGACAAGATTTATAACTCTAAACGTTATTAAAGACATCTAAAGCATCTCCGAGAGATTACAATCAAAATATAATTTTACTTAATTGTTACTACTAATAATAGCTGTGAGGAAAGACATACTGCAACAAAAGAAAACAGTCCCAATTGACGAAAATTTAATAAAAATTTATAATTTATAATTACAATAATTGGAAAATAGTCCTGCAAAAATGAAAGCCAAAGATAATCAATCCACGAAAATGAAAGCTAATGATTTGAGCAAGGAGGAAAAAGGAGAGTCGCCAAAGATCTAGAGGTCTGAGGGACAGGAGTTCTCATTGAGTCATCTGGAGGAAACTACAAATCTTTCCCATTCTTCTTTCCTTTTTACCTTTAAATTTGTGTTTGTTTGGGTTAATCTGGTGCTTGATTAATATTGATCCAACAGCTCAAGTATATTAGGCATGGATTGCCACTCAACTCTCAATACTTACCATTGGATTAAGTCCATCCAACGGTTGCTGTTGGCCCTCCCATCAGATCACAGATCACCATATCAACTGTTAGATTTGTTATGAGCCAAAAGGTTGTAATTTTAAACACAGAATTTTTCCTTGAAATTTTTAAGGGCACAAGACAACGTTACATTTATAACATCTTCATATTAAATTTGTTATGACAATTGGAAGATGCATTTCCTGACTAGACTAATGTTATTCTGCGCAATCCTAATTTGGAAATCTGTCAAAGAAGTGACAAAGATAAAAGCACCACTTATTTAAGAGTTGTTTGAATTGTTTAAAGCAAATCATAGATGTACATGAGCAATATTTTTAATCAGCCTGATGTAAGGATTCATTTTCAACCTTTTCGTTGTTTAGATTTTACATTTTTCATTTAATAGAAGATTCAGTTTTTATTGGTTTATCATCTTATATTTTGCAGCCGGCAAGGAAATTGCAAATTGAACTTACATGTGTTGAAGACCTGCAAAATGGATTGCAATTTTTTTTTCCCAAAGCACATGGCAATTTTGGTTCAAGAAGCTCGATAATTAGGGTTGAGTTTTGATTGAAAGAAGCAGGGCGTAAAAGGGTGCATCCCCAAATTCACTACAATACCTCCTTCCATGTTAATAAGTCTTCCTACATATGTTCACATTACACTTAATCTTGTGTGGACATAGTTGTGCTAAAAACTTTCCTACATATGTTGTCATGTGTGCGTATGAATGTGCATTGGTATGGTGTGGCCACTTACTGATGTGAGTGCATTTGCATAATATTGTGTACATGCATGTGCATATCTCGTGTTCTTTTGTGTGGTTATTTATTTGCAATTTGTGATAGTGAAGATTACAGGAAATCATTTCCTAGACATAATGGAAATGTGACAGCTTGAAAAATAAACCATGCTTTTTCGTAGTGTTACATCATTGTAGGCTAGATGATGAAGGAATTTTTTGTCTTTTTACATACATGCAAATGGTTCAGGATATTCATAGTTGTAGCCTTGTAGGTTCTGTTACCCCCGCAATGTGGAAGGAGGCTTGCAATTTTGGAAGGTGGCAATGCACGCTCAACAGAATATATTATTTGCTCTCTATTGTTCCAGTTTTTACCAAGTGCAATCCAATGGCGATAGTCCATCTTGTTGCAACAATGTGATATTGAAATGTGTATATTTAGAACTTAGAAAACAAGTCTTGATTAATGTTTGTTCCATATACATACCATGTCAATTTTGCAAATATGGTTGGTATATTGTGTTTTGGGTTGAGGGAACGAAAGAATGTTGTTTCATTCCATTTTCCTCCTCGCTTATTTGGATAAATAAATTAATTACAAGAAAAAATAAAATAAAGGCATTGACATCATAAATTGTAATTAGCATATATTATTTATTTTTGTATGGATTAACAAGATGTTGCCATGTCAGATCTGGTAGCCAGGGCCCTCTATAGATTATCTGCCAAACTTAGCAATATTGTATTATTGTATAGTGTATACTGGATAATATTGTTTCACTTCAGATTTGCCATTACAAATAAATATTTTTAAAAATTAAATATAAACTTTTGAAGACAGTGTTGGGTGGGTAGTCTTTTCAAAAAAAATTTTGAAGAGTTATCTATAAATCTATCTTTTAATTAATAACTTTAAAAACCAAGCTCAACACCATAGTAATCATTCACTTTAGAATTTATATTGTTTGGGTATGGTTAAGTGATATGTCTTAGTGCGTTTTTTCTTGCTTAAACCTTAAATTTTATTTATTTGTTTGTTTTTGGTTTCTTTTAGCTACTTTTAATTAGAAAGTTTTATTTTAATTGCTCAAATAATTCTAAAATTAGTTATTTTTAATCCTTAATCAATCATCAATCCTCTTGAGAACGAAAACTTTACTTATCATTATATTACTTAAGTTGATTGAAGCACTTACTATTAAGTTTACCGCATCAAGTTTTTTTTTTTTTTTACCCTTGCCAGGGAAATTTATCATAAAACCGATCATGAAATTTTTCTTCTACTCTTTTTTCTTTTTTGGCATTTTTATCAAGGCTTCTACCCAACTATCAAACAAACAACAACTCAAACAGCAATTCAAAACAAAGTCTTAGTACTATTTTCCGAATAGCAACTCAAATACTTCATTTCAGCAACTCTTTTTTTAAACTAAAAGTAGGGAAATAAAAATCTAGGAGGACAACAGAGGAGACTCAAGCAAGACCAATATTCAATTAAGCCAAGAAAAATGGATAAACATTTGATAGTAATGGACAAAAAATAGCAGCAAACACCTAAACAAAGAGCATAACCAGGTCACAAATAGAACTAAAAAATTAGGATTGAGGCATGGAGACAGGCTCAACAACACATGGAAAACAGTACAAATGAACCAAGTGAAAAAGAATATTAACAGCTTCAATCCTAGTCCTAGATCGAATATGCAATCCTCAAAGCAGAACCAACACAATCATAGCAAATCTAAAGAACACAGTAAAGATTGTAACAAAAAAGAACACAGTAAAGATGATATGGAAAATCAAATATCAAGCAACTTCATGAAAATGTAGAATATCAGTAAAGTCATATTCAGCCTTATGACTCCGCAAACAACGGGACAGGGGCGGCCCAGCAGAATCAGATCTGGTTGACCCATCCTAGCCACACAGTCCCCTAAACACTTCAATCCAGAGAGACTTCATGGAAAATTAAAGGAAAATAGAAAAAGACTTTACCTTCTTTCTTTTTCTTCTTTTTTTTTGGGAAAAAACCTTCTTAAGCGGCTCGACTATTTTTAACACCTTAAAAAAAAAAAAAGCAAATAAATCAAACAAAAATAAGTAAATAAATCCTCCAGCTCCACAACCTAAGCCCATAAATGAACAAACGGAATTCAGATCCAGCAATTTGGGCATTTACACTGGTGGGTCATGGACTTGGAGGGATTATTTGTTTTGTTTTTAGTTCAGAGACTTATATATGCTGTTTTGGCGCTTAAGAATGGTTTTTGCTTTTTCTTTTCTTTTCTTTTTTTTTAATTAGAAGTGTTTAATGAAGTTACCTAACAGAGATTGAGGAATCGGAGGTGTCAAAAACAATGGAGGTGAGATCTGTACCTTGAGATCTAAGTCTGTAACTGCTGAATGACGCTACAATTCGATCTGGCACTAAAACGGACCTCCGGAGGTGTGACGAAATCGACTTGAACCATCGAAAACGAAAGCCGGGACAGATCGGTCTGAATGAAACCACTCCGAGAGCAAAAGACAGCAGTTGAGAGAGTAAGAGAGTGAGGGATTTCAGGTCGAGAGACGGATTTTCGGACAAGAGAAGGAGAAATCGGGGGTAATAAATTTGCAACTCAAGTGATTTTCATGGCAAAAATCAGAGGAGGAAAGGTTCGGGGTCTAGAGGAGGAAAAAGGAGAAGATCGCCGAAGATCTGGAGGTTGAGAAGAACTTAGGTCGCAACTGGGTTTCTATTTCATTCTATCCCTTCCTTTCTCCATAAGAAGGTTAAGACCCGTCACAATCTTTTCTATGTATTGAATCTCAAACGTCATCAAAAGATTGCCTTTTCAGTGTATTGAATTTCTTTTTGACCCATTGTCAGCTCCAAGGACCGTGAGACAGTCAAAGGCTGAATTCCTCATACAGACTGAATTTCAAACGTCATCAAAAGAGTTCTTTTTCAGTGTATTGAAATTTTTTTTTTTGACCCATCGTCAGCTAGAAGTACCATGAGAAAGTTGATGCATAAATGTCGTGAGGCTTTAATGTCGAGGTGCAGAGGAGTGATTGCTAAATAAATAAATAATAAAAGCATGGACAT